CAAATGAGTACTTAAAGCTGGCTGAAGCTGAGCAATTTCTTTTTGAGGTGAGAGAATAATTCGATCAAACTCTTTTTACAACCTGGGTGAATGCCAGGGTTTGCCGCACTGCAGTTAAAGTGACCAGTTAACTGGGCTGTCGGGGCTATTGGGCCGTCTGCTTCTTGAGGGGTGACTGATTCAAAATCACTTCACTTCATCTTGATTTTGTGCCTTGATCTTGTTACCCATCATGCTTTAGTGTAAAGCGTTGTTCTCCCAGTGAGTTGTTCATGTTGCTTCGTGCAATAACTCTAGTTGAAATCTTGACTTTTGTTCACTTTCCACAACTTCACCTTGATTTTTACCTCTCAAGTACCCTTCGCATTAATTACCACCACCTGAGATTGGTTTTAACGGAGAACATAATTTTTTAGCAAGAAAAATCGCTTTCGAATCATAATGGTATGCCAACTTAAAGCTATTTCATCTATATCATTTCAGTTTAAATGTTAACATGCTTAAAGTTTTGATAAACTGTCTGTAATAAAAATATGACAGACCTTGTAAGCATAAAATAGTTAGCTCTCTATTAGTTGATTAAGAAGCTAAGAGGTAAGTTTTTTTTTTCTCACAGATTGCCAAAGTGGAGAGATACGAGGCTAAACTGAGTGTCATGGCGTTTATTGGTGTGTTTGACGAACTAATGAGAACTGTTGTACCGGTGAGTCAGTATTTTGGATTAAGACTCTTGTTTTTTTGCGGTGGTCACATAATTTGAGACAAACAGCTTAAAGTTGCGATAAGACCAAAGTCGTGACATTCTGCACTTGATACTTCAAGCTAAGTTCTCCACGAATGTTTGTTTGCACTTTCCTCAGACAAGCTCAACAAAATATAACGTAGATATGCAGAATGCACACGATATTTTAAAAATTAAAACAGACACGAGAGTACCGATGACAATTCCTCTCTATATATTAAAGGTTGTAAATCAGCGAGTGTTGTTTGACCTTTCTCTTCATTTTCATGATTTCTTTTTTAGCAAGTGGACGCAGTTTTGAGAGCGGCGACTTCTATAGTCAACAGTGCGAAACTCAAAAAGTTATTTAAGGTACAGCTTTAGATAAAGTAAAACTGCCTTCTTCTGATTTTCCTCCTGTTAAATACTGATGAACTAGTGTTATAACAGCGTTATTTATATCCGTTCAAGATTATACTTATATACGGCAACTACATGAACAGCAGTCGAAGAGGACTGGCCTATGGCTTTAAACTGGAATCTTTGGGCAAGGTAAGATACTGGAATTCTCGAAATCAAACCGACAATTTCTTTCAAAGTGTCCTCCTTTTTTGAAGTGCCATTAAGCCTGGTTCAAACGTGCGACGCTAATTTAAATGCTAGGAAATAATTGTTTGAACTACAATAGTGTAAATGTAGGCGCACGATCCGATGTAAGAATTGGGGAAAAAGCGAGAAATTTTGATTTGAGAGTCGAAGGCTCTCTCCCGCATCGTTTTGGAGGTGCTGTAAATGTCCATTTTTTTAATTTCAGCTGGAAGACACTCGTACTACTGACAGAAGGCAGACATTCCTTGCTTATATAGTGAATGTAGTGTACAAGAAGTTCCCAGAAATAAGAGATTTCGCCGAAGAACTGTTTTTGGACGGAGCAACCACAGGTAAACACTACACATTCGTCGCCATGCTTCAAAGCCTAAGCCCAATTACTTAATCGTCTGCAAATAACTGAGCTGTGAAGCCTCACCTTGTGTTTCAAGTCAAACAAGAGCGATTTTCCCCAGGCCTTTGAATGGATGGAATTGAATGGAGCGATTTTTCCCCGGCCTTTGAATGGATGGAATAACGACACATTCGAATTGTTGATGATTTAAAAGACTGTTTATTTCTTTCTTCAGTCTCCATGCAGACCCTCGCAGCCGATGTGCAGGGATTACGGAAAGGGCTGGATCTGACAAAGTCTGAGAGAGACAAACAACCTGATAACTTCATCATATTCGTATCCTTTGTCATCAGCATATCTTTTGATTTAATTTGTTATGGCTCTCTTTAAAGAGACTTAACCTTTTCCACCCTAACGTCAGTATTCATATTCTCCATACTGTTCTCTGTAGATTTCTTAGGTTGATAACAAGGCGAAATTCAAGTTGTTTAAAAATCAAAGCTTCTTTAGCTTGTGATCATTTCTTTTATTCTTGTGACCTTAATCTGTGACTCTATTTTGGTCCTAAAACGACAATTACTAGATTCTAAAGACCAAAGACCTTTCCATGGCCCTCCTTTCTTAAAAATTTTAAAGACTGATTTTAAAGACTGATGTCGATGATGATGCTGGAAAATAGATACATTTGGTTACCTCTTGTTATGCTTGTACGCACTCCTTAACATGCTTAATCATTCAGACATTCTACAATGCGGCTTTCAAGAAAGTCCAGCGCGTCACTGAACGTTATCGAAAGATGGAAGAAGTGTATACACAGGTGTGCACCCTGTTTGGAGAAAATCCCCGAGTGGTGGAACCTTCAGACTTCTTCAAGACCTTCGTTGACTTCATTGCGAACTTCAAGGTAATGAAATGTCAAATAATGGCTTTTATTTTAAGTCCTAACTTTATCAGTAGAAACAGTTTTTCGAATAAGGAACTGGGCGCACGTTTATCGCCACAAATTCAACTGGAACCATGTACCTTCCACCAATGCCTTGTTGCCAACTTTTGAATTTCTGAGGTTGTTTGACCTAAGTTTTATTGCCTTTTGTAAAGATTTCGAAGGTAGATCGGCACTGCAGAGGGGTGAAACTAACCAAAAATATCAAGAATAGTTAAATGAGGATGGCGGAGATCGCGGAACGTGCATTACTAATAATGACAAACCTGAATATTCTGGGCTTAATTTTTTGAAGTGCCCAAAGTGTGACCTGCCTTTAAACCGCAATAACGAAATGTTTACAGAAAAACATACCTATGTTTACAGAAAAACATAGGTAAGTTTTAGACTTGTTCATTCGTTCTGACAAAGGGCTAACGCTCGAAACTTCAGCCGTAGAAACTATTTAAGGTGACTCATTTACATTATCAACACAGTTGACAAAACCAAATTATTCTTTTTACACCCCCACCGACGCAGAAGCACAGTTTCTTCAGGTACTTACCCTCTTTGTTGATATGTCCGAAATTGGTTTAGTTAAGTTGACTTGAAGCACGTAGAAGGTTTCTCAGGAGCCTTGCAGCAGTGACATTCTCTTTCCAGCCACAGAGATACAAGATATGGCAAGCATTAGAGGTTTTTGTCCTTTCGTCCAATCAATTTATTTCATTAGACCTCTCACGAGTTGTTAGTAAGAACTATTCGAACTTGGTCATTGCGTCCAAGTGCTCAGCCGATGTTGAAAAAATAAGTATGGGCTTGGAGAGACTTTCTGCCATGTTTGGTAATTTATGCCTCCTTTTAATACTTAGTATGCTTTAACTTCTGCTTCTCATAGAAAGCTGAGAGGGACTTGGAAGGACAAAAGCGACAAGAGGATGCAGAGGCCAAGATGAGGCGCATGCTCAATGGCGAGGACTCAGTTAAAGCACGTCTCAAGGTTGCGAATGCAGCTGCTAGTGAAGGTCAGCAGAGATCTTTTTCCAACAAAAACAACCGGTTTCTGTTGACGTGAAACAAACCCAAGAAGAAATGAAAAGGAGATTTTTAAAACAGAGACGCGTTGATGTTATTTCATGAAGTCATTTTCATCCTAAAAAGTAAAGCACGACTCCAGCTGAAATTGATATGATGATTTATATCGTTCGAATAATTTATACATCGGAAATAATTTATAGCGAGAAAATATTTTGTTTAAAAGCTATAAGCGGAATTTGTAATGCTGTTTAAACAGTTTTCTTTAATTTTTATAACTTGATCATATGTGTAAATGTTACGAGGTACAGTATTTGTAATTTACCGGTAGTCCTCAAACAAATATCTAGCATATTGCTTGATGGATATTACTGATTTTTCATCGTGCCTTCTTTAGAATGATTAACTCGCCAGACTGTCTTTGCACTAAAAGGGTCGCTTTTTCCAAGAGTCATTTGGACCACTTAGTTATAGTTCGTGTGTAGGACTCGCCAGTTAAGCCTGGTTTTCACTAGCAACGCGAGCATGAGCGCAACCACAAACGTATCGATTACAGCTCTTTTTTGAACGTGAAAACTGTCTGGACGCAAGCATAAGGACCACAATTTTTCCTTGTCTCGCGTGTTATGCTTTCGTTTGTCGCTAATGAAAACCACGCTTTAGTGTTTCTATTCTCAACGTGTAACTTTTTTTAATCAAATACCAGAACGTGTAATCCTCGTATTCGTCATCGAATAATCCGTTTTGTAGATATTTATAAAAAATATCCCATGAGGACGTTGATGCATTTGGGTTTTCTTATAAAGAAATAAAATAAACCTTGTTGTAAATAAAAGGAATTGGTATGAAAATTCCAGACTTTGAATTAAAGTTAAAAGCATCTTGTATGTCTTTAGTGGTGCTCTGGTTTAGTTTCGTTGTTGTTCATGGATTTTCTTCCCTTTTACTTACTGTAATCTCTTATCTCGTCCTAAGAGGGAGCATCGATTATGGGGGACAATTCTTGAAATGGAGACCCGGGAAAGAATCGATGAGTTGGGCCAGTTAACCTCATCTAGACCCATCTAGAAATCTCATTCTCCCAAAATCCTGTGTTGTCGAACTGAGTGAACCCTATCAGCTCAGTGCTGCTACAGCTATCGTGTGATTCCTTAAAAATACCTTAAGTAGCAAAACTGAGCAAATTTTGATATCTCCATGAGGATGATTTGCACATCCCATGATAAAATTCAAGTATCGTTAACATATTGGTAAATTAACCATAGACATTTTTCAACCAGGTACGGCCTTTTGCAGAACTGTTGTAATACTCAGGCATTCATTAAACAACTGAGGAGATAACTTTGTTTCACCATGAAGCATCGCTTATTTATTATTATTATTATCATTATTTTTTTTTTTGCTTTAGTTACATTTACAGAAAGGAGAAAGAAAGAACTTTGCTTTATTTTGCTCAGTTCTCGTTTCACCAGCGAATTAAAAATTAATGACCGAAGGCAACGACATGATCTGTTGAAAAACCCATTTAACCCGCCATAGTGTGCGCCTAAAGGGAGAAAGTACAGTATTGTTTCGAATTCATTCGGAAGATTGCCTCAATTTAATTCTCCCTACACATGTATCATCATACAATGCAAGTACTTTCAACTAGGGAATAAACTAACACTTCCTTTAACCCCTCACATCCTAACATCTGTATGCACATTCTCTATGCTGTCCTCCGTAAATTTTCTTTAGGTGCTGACATAGAGAATGTGTTTAACAATCAAGTTAATGATCATTTTCTTTATTCTCGTGACCTTGATGTGTAATTTAAGGCTGATATTGTAAGGAGAAATTAGATGCTAATTACTGTTAGGAGACAAACTGTTAACACCGTTCATTTGTGTCTGAGTCGTATCACAACTAACCTTATCGATGTAGTCATTGACTGAGCTTACTTGGGTTACTAACTACAATTTCTTTAAAACTTTCAGGGAAAAGACCTAAAACTTTATTTAACGTGCAGAAATGAGCAAAGGAAATCGCAGCCGGTGTAAAATGAAGCTACTTAAAAGAAATAACACTGTTCAAATGAAGATATCTTTGAAGTATCAACCGGTTTATAATTGTAAATCAAGGCCTTTTCTTCTGCTTCCTCGCTTGGAAAGTGATTGGTGTTCCGTCGAGCTGCAAACATAATAATACAGGGAAAATTTTAAGAGACGAAGACTACATACAGAGACTAAGTGTGGCCTTATCTAGCCTCGCCTGAAGTCGTTTGAGGCAGAAATCGTTACCCTCTCCTCCCCAACAACTCATTTTCACTTGTGCGCAGATTTTCCTATCTAGTACTGCTCTCTGTTGAATAACCATTGACGAATTGACACATAATACCCAATCAAAAATAATCACAAGAAACAAAATTGAGTAGTTTTTTTGAGTTTAAAGATTTAATTGATTGGCTCATTTGCCGGCTAGCTGGTGTTTGAGAAACGTAACGTTATTGACTAAAAGTCATTACAAAACTTGATTCAAACAAATTAATTTATTCACCACTAGGACCGAATGCAAGCCGTGCAACCCTGATGCAGAAATGTGCTGAGGCTGAAATATCTTAATTTTCGAGAAACTTCAAAACCCAATTTAGGAGGAGATTGTATTATCAAAAGGTCGTTTTGGAAGGGAACGCTCTTTTGAGGAACAGGAAATTTCGGAAGAGGCCTTTTTCTTTCTTTTATCTGTTAACGCAAATGATTAACTATACGTTGCTTAATCAATGTTTTAAACTGCATTTGACAAACAGAAAGTTTTACCAAGTACCATACCTTGATTAACAAAAAAATTTGCCATATACTGTGCAACAAAAACAGCGTCTGGTGAATGGTCAATCTCTTCTTTTGGTGTCCACTCAAACTGACATTTTTCCGGATGCCACTGTGTTCCGTATACAGGGTACTTCTTGCCTGTGGTTTTTATAAAATATCAGCTGTCCATGACAATTCAAAACTGCCCCTATTATAATTAACAACTATTCACCGAAGTGGAGGTGGTTAGTGATGGATAGTTACCGAGCCGCGAAGCGGCGAGGTAAATATCAACCGCCAACCACCAACACTGAGGTGAATAGTTGTTTTAGCATATACTAAAACAGTGAGATAATATACACCACCAAAAATTAACTTGAGTGATTTCTTCGCTTGTCACGGATGCAAACCGGGACGCCATTTTTTCCCGTGTTGCTCGGAGGTAAATAGCAAAGGATATTTGGAGTTTGACTAGCCAATCAGAGCGCGCCTTCAACGCTATCCACTGTTTTATCCACCGCGCGGGAATACGAATTTTATCTTCGAACGAGTGAGAAATACTTTCAGCACGAGAAGATAAAACTCGTATACCCAAGGGGCCATGTAAGTCTCTGTTTATTTCATAGACACTGATCAAATTTCCACATAAAACACAACTTTTTTTATTCCCGCCTGAGCTGGAAGCTCTCTTGTAATTGGCTTATCATGTTAGTAACCATGGCGACACCAATATCCTCACACGTGAAAGATAAAAATAGTATCTTCACAGCGCGCGATGAAGATATGATTTTTTAGTAAAAAGAAAAATCCTGGTATTTCATCAGTATCTCTATAATAATTCCTGTTATTTCTCTGTTAAGATATTACCCTGAGCCCTGTTTTTTTTTCTTTTCGTATTTCCTTCCCTGCAGCAATAAAAAACGCCGAAGGTAAGGGTGGCTGTCCTGTAAAATTTACTTGTAATAAATTCCTATTCTGAGAGCTGACGATTCTCCAGCCTTACCATATCCAACTGCTACTCCCAACCCCAAAGAAGATAGAGCATGTATAACCTGTACTTCATCCCTAATGCACCATTTTATGTCTGCCTCTCTAAATGTAAGAATCTAAGTCAAGTTAAACTTTTATTCCATCTCTTGTTTAGCTTTGAATCAGATTATAAGGGTAGGCTCGAGTGTGTTAAGGTATATCATTTGACACGGGTATAGCCTATTCTTGCCTCTCCTTTTGGTTGTGTCAGGCTAAAGCCAATGTGTACCAAAGTATGCGATTTATAGCATTTAGAAAAAAAAAACATTTACTCAAGGTTCTGATATGAAAATACGGTACCTTCAACGGTGGAGATAAATTCCACTCCCTTCCGGTCCTCGTTGGTTGACAGGATATCGAAGAATCCGACAGTGTTCTTGTTTGCATAGAATTTCTATGAATCAGGAGCAAGTTTTAACTAAGGAAATTGATAATAAGGGGAAATAGGAGGCTCTCTTGATTGTGAGCATAAAAAAGATATTCAGCTTTTTCCAGTTAACAGCATGAAACTGGCAACTCGTGTGTGGGGTGGCAGACAAAGTGGGCAGAAAAAAAAAACACGGAAAATACCGAACAAGATTCGATGGAACAATTTATCAATAATTTTACTTAGAACCTACCTGAGGTGTCACGCATTTCTGATGCATGTTAATTGTTACAGCTTGTTCTTTAAGAATTTTCATTACTCTGTCCCTATCTCGAGAAGAACCAAACATTCGACTTTTATATGCCTCTGTATGTAAAAGAAAGAGGAAACGAAGTTTTTGTTGTCTTTTGTTGCCTCTGATTGACATCTATCAAATAGATTCGTAATAACTAATTTAATTATTATTATCGCGCCTTTGATCATCCTATAATGTTAAAGGGCGCTACATAAGTAAATAAAATATTATTAAATTATTACTATAATTAGTAACTAAAATTGTCATTGCACAGAAATTTAAACCACTTGTGGTAAACTGCAGAGATTTAAAGGAAGTAAGAACAGAAGCAGGCCAGACAATTCTATATACCAGACGTGGAACACGTCTTTATTTTAAACTAACTGTCAAGCCGACTGGCAAGCATCCTACATCGGAGAGACCGGCAGAAACCTCGCAACAAGACTCAGTGAATGAACACAGACGGGCGACGAGGAAAGGTGACGTCAACAATCACATTGCTGAACATCATCGACTTACGAACCACAATATTGACTGGGACTGCGCAATGCCTAACCAACAGCACTGACTACTTTCGACGACTGACTCTGGAAAGCTGGTTTACTAACTTAGAACAGACTCCCCTAATCAGGTGTCAACTACTACCGGCTCCATACAAACGACTCATACACGAAATAAACATTACAAACGAACCGAACAGAATGACCTAACTTTACTGACGGATCGAAAGAGACCAGTCACGACCGACTTACGCCACTTGAGTCTTACAGCCAATAACATCACAGCAAAACTGACCAATCATTTTACACGAACTGAAATAAGAACATTCCACTGACAACAACTATTCACTTGACTCTAATGATGACTTCCGCACAGGTTGTCGAAACGTCAGTCACAACCACCGACAACAGTCCTTCTGAGGACTACACTCACCCGAACGATCACAATACACTTTCACATAATAATTGACCGAAACAAACAGCCAGTCGTTTTCAAGCTACCTTGTCCCCCCTCAGACTCAAGCACAAAACTCATCCGTTGAATTGGTTTTAAGCCTTGTTCATTTACATAATAGAAGCCAGCATAAGCTTGGAAAATATGAGTCTCTGACTGCGAGAGAATTTACGTAAACAAAGACATATTCTAAATGTAGATAGATCCAGCTGTGGTATTGCGCGAAGCAATAAGAAGATTTTTCCTATTATTTAAAAAATCTCTCATATTATCACATTTTTTAACCAGAGGTTCCCTCCAAAGTTACTGATTATTACAGTAATTTGCCATAACACTAACTCCCTCTTGAGCAGAATTAATCGCACTTATCTAATTTTTTTTTTTCAGTTAACAGGCAGTTCGCCTTCCAGTGCTAGATTTTGGCAACAATTGGCTGATCACACAATCTCTTCTACGTCTGCTAACATTGTCTTACCTGCAGTGAATTCCAGAGGAATGGAATAATTCTCAGCGTCACATGACTCCAACATTTCATCGTTTGTCAACTCTGAGATAATGACATGCATCATCTCAAAACCAAGGCAGGCTCCCCACACGAAAAACGGTTCCTTCTCATTCTCCCGATCACTGTGATTATCCTGTTACAGACATCAAACAAAATTACAGAAAACATCCAAATATCCAAGGAGTGAGAATATCTTGTCCACATAACCTTTGCTTACGCACGCAAGCCGTATAACTGTCTCTCAATGGCTGAATCTTGGAGAACGGCTGAATCTATAACTGTCGCATAACTGTCTCTCAATGGCTGAATCTTGAAGAACGTAGGAATTGCCATCGATGTATATATGCATACAAGTGTATTAATGGCGTAATTAATCGTTCTTTGGACATTGTAAGAAAGAGTGATATGCACTCCTACAATACGCGCAATAACGATACTATAAAGCTTCCCAAAATCAAATACAATTGGGGAAAACATCGTTCGCGGTATCACTGTTTCAAAGACTTTAAGGAGTTACAGAGAACTGTAAGAAACTCAGGAAGTTTTCCAATTTTTAAGAAGTGTCTTTTTACTGCTTTTTATAACTAAGAATTTTTTTTAAATTAATTTTTGCATTGTATACGTTGTAATCATTTTAATATTTATATTTAGTTCAAATTTCTATATTTTAATTGCATTTTTATATAATACACATCTAGTATTTAGGACCTCTATGTAAATCACTATTGTGATGGAGCTTCCTAATAAAAGCTGATAGTTTCAAAAGAAACTGTTTGGGGCTGCGTCGGTGAGAGTAACGAAATAGTTTGGACATATCAACAAAGTTGAAGTGGTAAATTGGCCACCGTAACGATTACAAAAGCTGACGTTTCGAGCGTTAGCCCTTCGTCGTTAGCCATTCCTCTTCGCTCCGACGAATGGCTAACGCTCGAAACGTCAGCTTTTGTAATCGTTACGGTGGCCAATTTACCACTTCGACTTTGTTGATATATCCAAATTACTTCCTAATCAAAGATTGTTATTATTATTATTATTGTTATTACAATCAACGGTTTTTCCAAATTTAAGTACATTTTCATTTTTAAGGGTAACCTGGTAAAAGCAATAGTCAGAAATTGGAGTCCCCGTAAGGAGTCCAACCTTAGAGCTCAGAGACCTCAGAGAGGGGCCGGAGGATTCTGAAAGGATCACATGGTTTTCAAGGGCTACACTGGGGTGGATCAGTCGTCGTTAACAGAGTTTATAGGGGAGGAGTGTGTAGAATAATGACTGTCATCATTATGATAATACAAAGCCTTAAGGGGATCCGGTAAATTTTTTTGTGAGACAACCAAAATCCCCCTTCCCACCTCCCCTCCTAGGCGATCAATAATGACCGGTTGCTTTAACCTATTAACCTGGCCAGCAAAGAGCCCACTCACCTGTATCACCAAATCATAAATCATCTTGCCTGCCCTGAAGTAAGCGGAGTCAGATAGACTGGCTCCCCCACCTGGAAATATGACCCTATTGGAAAGAAGATGAGCGCGACACTGAACACATTGATTTAAGGAACCTTCATTTATGCAATGGTACAAGTTAATGGCCTTCCCGCTGCAACTTACCCATTGATGCTATTAATGAGAGATTGCAGCTCTTCTTCTGGTAAATCGTTACTTTTGAATGGATTAAGGAAGTGAACTTTGAATGTGACAATAAAAGAAGATAGCAATCACTGGTTAAGTGTGGTAAAAACCATGTAGCCCATAGAATTTGAATCAAAATAAAATTTAACCCACAATCAGATTTCAAAATAAATAAGCGTAGCCAGGCTGAGGAGCGGGGAAACGCAAGTTTTCAACCGCCGGTTACTTTATACTTTCACATGATGGGCCGAGGAGGTGGTGCGAATTTTGCGCCAGTCATGTGTGGTTGTCAGGGTAAACCAATATACAGCTGAACTTTTCAAAAAGTATCTTCTAACTATAAACTATCCGTTGAGATTAAAACAAAAATAGAATGTCAAAACTATCAAGCTCATAAAATCAGTATGATCCCACAACCTTAGATACTCCGGTCCAGCTGGAAGGAATAACAAGCAATCGACAAGAGTTTTTCTCTTGGAAACCAGCCAGTTTGCGCAACCTCAAAAGTAAAAATTTGCATTGATATTGCTACAGATTTAGTCCTTAATGTTGTTACAGTGTTGGTCTCTCAAAAAGATACCGGATTGGAACAACGCGGGCACCACCGCTCTCGATAAACTTGACGTATGACGCAGCTATGTATGACTTTCCATAATCGGCAAAGTGACCATCACAATCCACTGACAGAATTCCTAGGAAAGCAAAAAGTGAGGTCATGTCACCCAAAATGAGCTCATAAGTAGTACACCTGAGGAGCCTGTCGATGTCTCTGACTGAAAAAGGTCGTCTTTCAGCGTCATCAAGTTATGTCTCATGACAGAAATTATTACAATATTTGGATGCTAAGCTAGAACGGTAAAAGATTCGAATGTATTGAAACAATCGCCAAATGGGCCCTTACTGGGAGATATTTTAGCATAAATGATCGCTGGGAAAACAAGATTTGCCGATCCAATATGATTTTTAAGCTAGAAATAATTTTATGAAATAGTAAGACGTATATTATTGCCTGATATATATATTTAGTTAAAAAAATAAGATCAATTTGGTTGCAGGTGAAAATAAGTTCACAACTTTCTTATGGAGGTTACCGTTTTGTAAAGAAACATATACGAAATATTCCAGTTTACCCATCATTTTGTCTGAATCGCCAGGCTTTGCTAATTACTTCATAAGAGCATCCCATTATACGAAAATTGAAACTTCGTGGAACGTCAAATTAAACACATCCCGTGTAACTTTTGTTAGAAATACGATGCAATGTCTCTTTATTTTAAACATCCTGAGCTTCAAAGAAGATAAACCCATTTTCATGTTAGGGTATTGATTGATTCAGATGTATGTCCTGTACATTGAAATTCGATGAGAATAAATAATTCTACCTCACCTATAATTGGTCTTTTATTTTTTGGAACCAGTTCGCAATCTGTATTTCCTGCAGAAAAAAGGTTCCCCATCACTTTCTTCAGATGCCTGGCCAGTTGCTGTATAAAGCACATTTCAAACCATTACAACTCGATCGACTCGAGCTGATTATATACTCTGTGAGACAACTACGTGAGTAATTTCTGCCAACAACTCATCCAAAGGAACAAAACTGATTGACATGACTGGACAGGATTCAAATTGAAAAAAACTTTAAATGTTTGTAAAAAGCTGATCACGTTTCACACCGGAAGCTCAAAATTGTTGTTTTTTTTTTTTGGAAAAGAAAACGACAAAAACTGAACTCTAGAGTCTATAAACTGAAAGCACTCTCTCTAACCTTTGAAAACAATGTTTTGTTTCCTCGATTTTAACCGTTTCCTGTGAAGATGTTTACTGATCAGTTTGCTGAGCTCGCAAAGGCACCATAAACTCTACTAAAGTTTTCCACAAACAGCTACCTGCTATTTGTAAACAACATTTTATGCAATCAATCGATTATTTATCATGTCTATTACTTTGAATTGGGTGGTAGCCAGGACGGGAGACTGAATTTTAGCATTTGGCCACTTGCTACTTTTACTATCTATACTTAAAATATCTGTGTGGAAAAAGTGATTTCTGATGGTTTACATCTACAAAACATTAAGCTTAAATTGAAAAATGTAGACATATGAAGTCAATTCCAAATGATTGTGAAAACGCTTCTACGTGCCGGAATGTTCAATTTCCCATACATTGGTGTAATTAAGCTGTACTGGTACCTGTAACAAGTACAAAATGAAATAAGACTGTCAAAACAGTAAAGAAGAGACGTGATGTTCAGCAGTTAGCAACAACTGAGCAGCATTACATCTACATTTGCTACGGAGAGAAATCTTTTTATTCGAGGAAACGTCACTGACTTAACTAATCTCTGCTTAGGCAGAAATATGTCACTGTATTGTTTTCTTTCTCACGAAAAATCCGCATTCATCTAAACACAAACTAAATATTTAATTTTTAATAATGCTCATCACCAACATTACTAGTCATTATTTACAAAAGAATCACTCTGAGCCTAACTGCCATTGATACGTGGCCATTATTATTGGCATATGGTCAATGTAATGTTCGGATTTCCATGTTCCGCATTAACCATTTTATTAGTACGCAAAGGGAGAGAAATAGATTTTTGAATCGAGCAATTAGTTGCGAGGTAGTTGTGAGTTCTGCGTGGCCATAGTCGATTGGTCAACAAATCAGACGGCGACTTGTAAGATCGGATAGCCTCTCAGCTTAAAAGGTTGCCAAGCAACTTCACAATCTACTGAAACTTTACAATACCGCCTACGACTGAAAAACTCCGACGAGTCTTATCACGTAGTTTACCGTTATCTTATGCCAAAGGCCACTTAAGGTTTTGGTTCGTATCTGTAATGAATGGAACAATTTAAGCCTCATACTGGGCAATTTTCACAAATATTTGTGCAAGGACCAAACCGAGTCATGTAAACTTAATTTTCTTAGTATCTTTTCTCAATTTCCGGCCTTTTCGGATTTTTGTAATATATCAATTATCGAGCCTACGTTTTGAGCTACGAAAGAAATTTATGATTTAAAAAAGAGAACAACTTTGCGAAAGTGATACCTTACTAGCACTTTGTTAGAATCCATTGCATTTAGCGGATGTAGGTTTCCTCAGTAGCTTCGACATTTGTTCGTCTCCAGAAAATTACAAAGAGTGTTTGATATTCATAGTACCAACCCGATTAGTCAGTAGGTTTGCACAAAATGCGACACTCACTCGTATTGTTCTTCCAGTTTTCGAATTTTAAGATATTGAAATATTCCTTAAATTCTGCTTTTTGCTTCAGATTTACCACTGACGTAAAGCTTTATCAGAAGGTTAGAAGTGGGTGAATTCAAGTTTCATTTCTAAATTAAAAAATTAAAAGATGTTCATTTTTGAAACGTCAAGGATTGTAAACATGTCTTCGATCTGCTTGTTGGCGAGACTTTTGCTTTATATTGATGATACTATCCGCGCCCTGTTACCATAGGTACGAATATCTAATTGGTTGACAGCGGACCATTGTCAAAGTAACATTATTCCAGAATGCATCACTCGGGGGGGGGGGCCTGACTGAACGCTTTTCCGGTCTCCTTCAATATGGCCCGGAGGGTCGTCAAAGAAATCGACACAATTTCATCTGAAAACAGTAACATACACCTAAAACGTTAAAGAGATGACATGAATACAAGTTTGATTGGTCCATCACTGATTTTTAATCCATAAATGTATCCTAAACAGCCTGTTTTTCTAATGCTATGAGTCAATATTGGAAAAACGTATATTTAAACCCGCCAAATTTTGTTTTCTATCATACTAAAAAGTCTTAAAACCACTTAAGAACGTATCGACGATCATGTGACCTGTGGAGACAATTAACGATGACAGGTAAATTTGGCAGGTTAGGTTTTGCTTATTTGTCGAACAAGCAGGCCACCAGATAACCCCAAGAGCTGAAATGTTGTCATTTGATGTTTACGGAACTTTAGTTACCCCCGCAATTTACTGTCGGCTATATTCATCGACTTATTCATCCCAGACATAACATTTAGATCGCTGTTATCGCAGGAGGCTCTTACAGGGAATCAGTTTAAGTCACTTTTCTAAGGATTTCCAAAGGTAAGAAATACTCTTCACGGGAAGTCTAAATCTCTGTTTTAAAAATTGTTTTAATTATCTTACAGGTGTTTCTGAGAGCCGTTCATTTAGGGGGTAATTATTTTCGCGGGTGTTGTTTTAATATTATGTGCCACACCCTGCTGTATCAGAAAATGTAAAAGTAGGTTTGCATGTCGTAAAAATCACTTGCATGAACTTTATGTATAAAGTATTTGACAGCTTGCACCTCGAAGACAAATTTCCGTGACCGAGAAACAACACTGACAGAAAAAAGATGTGGGTACAGATTCAAAATGACTCTCAAGGAAGATCTTTATTTTTGACCAGTGAACAGAATGTTTATAAAGCCGGGAACTTTACTGAATTATTTTAAGTCGGTTCAACAAACACAAAACAAAACTTTTGGAGTTATCCAGGAAGAATCATATCAGTATGCCAGCGATGTAAGGCCCGAGGCTTTACGGAAAAATCCTGCCTCTTAAGCGTGCGATCGTCAACTTACATCCTCAACTTGAGTTTTCTTTCACCGCCTTTGTTTTTTGTTCTTCAAAATGCCTCATTATTTTAAGGAATTTCTCTTTCTTAGTACGTCTTCAATTTGGGTATAGGAGCCGATATTAGGTATGACTGTTGAGGGTAGATCGCCGATCAAAGTTCTCTCTTAAGCAAAAGATCTAACAAGGAAGCAGAAAGTTTTGCATTCTACATAACATACTCACTATTGAGTTAATTCTTATAAAAAAAAAAAACAAAATTTCTTCACTTATTTTGTTGTGCACCCTCGTTATATTTCCTCACACAGATCTATTCAAAAGAAGCTTGGATTTAGCCACACTCATTGGGATGCATCTCCTGATCTCGTTTCTCCTCTTGTTTGGATCATTATGTAGATTGGGTGAGTGAGCGAGCATCGAATTTTTCAAAATTTAATTAGTGGTAAATTCATTGACAGTTTCTAATCTTAGGGATGTAATCGGTTATCGTGTGAGGATAGGTGAACAAAGAATACAAACAAACATACGAAACGAATCAAAATAACAAGAGCAAAACTAGGAAGCTCCGTGGTGCTTAAAATCGTTTTTCTGTGTCTTCGCCGAAGAGTCATAGGTTGATCATCTGGGCCCTGTTGTTCATAGAAAAACAAAATGTACTGTGTTAACCACCTATCCCCAGTTGTTCAAAGATTCGGTAACGCTATCCACTGGATAAATCTCAATCCAGTGGATAGCGTAGTGCTTTTTGCTATCACTTATCCGCTGGGTAGCGAAATATCCGTTGGATAGTGCTATCCGCCCTCTATACAACTGGACCCAGATAGAGATCTCTTCAGTAGATGGCGTCATCCACCCTTCGAACAACCAGGGCCTGGTGTTTAACCCAAAGTAATTTATGCTGAAATTGCATAAATATTGACCACTTTCATAATTGGCCGCCGGATTAATATTCTTTAGTTTAAATTGAAATTAGCTCTTCCGGTCTCGCTTGAGATAATGTATTCTATTGAATTTTGTACTGGAGAACGAGGTCACCAAGGCTAATTGAAATTTAAACAAAAGAATATTAATTCGGCAGCCATTTATGAAAGTAGTCTATAGATGTTGATTACGGGTCAGTATCGAACAGATTATGGTAGAGATGGTAGAGAACGAACTCGATAGTTTGGCGGCTATGGTTATTTCTACAGCTGTTTCGAGAAAGGTTCTCATAAAAAAAAAAAAGCGTAAATGTATATGCAATTACCCCGAAATGTATTGTGGATAGTTTTAGGTCACGCTATCAAGGTTCTTTGACCTGTTTTCAGGAAAATCTGACAAAATAGATGAACTATCGCGACTTTGATGAGTTTGTTTAAGAATTTTACTTCTTAAAATTCACTGATTACCGGATTCCCTGATTACCTTTCAACATGATCACGTGCACTTTTGTGCAACTACCTCTCTCGAAACAGCTGTATGCATGATCCTACATTAATCTTATTGAAACCACTAATTTGAACGTCTTCCCTTAGTCTCAGCTGGACCCTCACCTCAGTGGCTCTATCAACAAATCCACGCGCTTCCAGATAATGGTAACCAACATGCAACCACTGAACTCCATACCAAGAAATCTGAAATTCCTCCTAAGAGGAAAGATGGCGTGAAGAGGTTGTTTAACTTTCTAGATTCTGCAATACAGGAAAGTGGAAGTGGAAGTGGCGAGGGATCTGCTGATGGCCGCGTCATTATGGCTACCGATCAACTCGTTAGTTCAGCTGGCTTGAAAGGAAAGCAGTCTGCTGGAGTCGATGGTCATGCAAGAACCAAAAAGGAGAAGACAACAAACTCTGGTAACTCTCTACAAAAGAAAACAGAAGCCTTGGGACATGGAGTAAATGAAGGCCAGACTTCAATAAACGGGCGTAAAAAAGATTCTTATGCTAGCATTTCAAATCTCCAGAGACAGTTTGCAGCTTCAAATCGACAAGGATTGCAGACAATTACAGTACCACAACAAAAAACAGGATATCTAGCTAATCCAGGGCTTCAGAATGTAAAATGTACGAGCTCAGAGTACAACATTCTCATGAAGTTTGCTAATACATGTCCTAAATTAATTATGATTTCTTTTCTTTCTTCTTCGGATCAGATTCACCAAACGTTTCTTCTTACTCTCGAAGCACGTATGGCAATCAAAGAAAAACAACTGGCTACTCGGTTGCCGGTCAGCGAGCACAGTTATATGGTGATGCAGCGTCAAGCAGGCGACCACCGGCTATTCCTGTGCGAAGTCAAGTCTCCGCGAGTCAAGGATTACGAACGCAGTCTTTAAGGCCACAGAATCTAATTCATGGTCTGTTTTAAATCCCTGATAAATAGCATCCTATCCAACATGACGGACCGGTCATTAATGATGACTGGTCCCTAGATCTGTGTTAAACATTTTTGGTAAAGGCTTCAGTTCCTCCTTTGTGGAAACAATTTTTGACAGGGCACGGCAGATTTTGAAACGCTTCTTTTTATCAACTCCACGTTGGTTACTTGACATTGTTGCCGTTTCTTCGTGCTCCGCCAAGTTGGTAGCAGTGAAGTCACTGATCCTTACAAAACAAACAGAGAAAAATCAGTCATAAACACCATGTTCTATTTTATTTCACGAATAAAATTTTTCAAGTTACAAACCGGAAATCTGCAATTTGTAAACAAAGCATAACGTTATTTCTCTATGGATCATGTAATTATAAATTTCCGAGACCAAAACTACCCCAAATCCTCGATCCCTGGTCACAACAAATAGAACTGGACCAGTGCAGTGCTTAGCAAGATTTCTCGTGTACAAATCTCTATAAATATTTTTTGTCCGTCTTTTTTTAACAGGAGCACCACACAGATCAAACATACAAGGACCATTTTACACCACCTTTACATTTACCTTCCCGAACTCATATCAAGACTATTACAGGGCGAAAGGGATCAAGTCTGCCGAGCCACTGCAGGAAAATGCATATGGTCAGCCACAAAGACAACGAAATCACTTTCATCAACAAGTGAGGGCTCTTATTCCCGGGAGGGTACCTCTGGCACAACCTTATAATCGTTACCCCTACCCAGCATCCCCAGCCGGTGTACCTGGCCAAACTAGAGGTGTTATTTACTCTCGTTTTCAATACAATCCTCACAGCGTTGCGGTTTCCCGCGCTCGCTTTCCTGTTTTCCCACGTGTTGTTAATACTCCACCCAAAGCAGCAAGTTTCTCCGGACAGGTTTACTACAGAAACACTATTCCAAATCAGCAGGCAGGTTTTTCACGCAATGCACAAGGTTCTTTTCACACTTACAATTATCCGCTGGTGCAGCGGCCACAAGTTGGGCGAGCTGTGATAAGCCGAAAACCACAGCCTCAAATTCCGATGTCGGCGTTGATGGCAGCGGGAGCCAAAAGCTTACGACAGCTTAGCCACGGTTGAATCAGTCTGGTCTTCGTATGCTCCACAAAGATTGGCGCTTGCGGTGTGGATGTTTGAAAACACATCCATAAAGCGCCTGCCAAAATTAGCGCGAGGACGTTTCAAACAGAACTATGTAACATCCATCTGCGACAGATATTCATATCTTTGGATACGTATTTAAGATTTAAAAGTAACAGATATATAGTGAAGACAACTTGTTCTCAAAGAAGGAAACAAGGCCATGAAGGTCTGGCATTCAACGTGTAACCTTGTAGTGCCGCTATTTTAGTTTTAATCGAATCTTGTCAAGTAATTACCAGAACAGTATTTTGAGCTGTAAAGCGTCTCCACCAGGAGATTTTATTTTCTTGTGGTCATTTAAACTGGAAAAGGGTTTTCCAAGGTCTGTGCAGAGCACTGCTGATCCTAACGATGTCCCACACTTTGTCAATTTTGAATGATGCTTGTAATGAACCTTTTTAGAACATTTCTACTAAAGTCAAATTTTCAAAAAAGTGATAAAATGAGTTTGAATAGGGTCTGGAATGTAATTTTTTACGTCCTGAATAAAACAAGGGATCCCGCGAAGAAACTTGTTTTCATTGATACGAGGTAATTTTGAAAGTAAAAGTAACTTCAATCAATACTTTCCAAGTAAAAATCTACTTGGAAAGTATTGATTGATTGTTCCGCGGACAAACCCGATCCGATCCTTTCTGCCTTCAGCAGGCAACAACAACTTTAGGCTAACGTAGGTCGCACAACGAATGAAAAACGACTTCAAGGGCGAGTAAGATCTTTCTTGCATATAAAATGTTAATGTTTTGTCTGATCGGATTGATTTCGTTAAACATTTCAACTAGAAAAGTATCTAAAAAATGTCACGTAACTTTTCAATGACTTTATGTCATCATTGTTATACGAAGATGAGATTGGCATCTTTTAGTGAATGTATAAGTGAACAGGAATGCATATGTGAAAATCTAAACATTAAATAGAAAAATACGTAGGATTTAAAAATGCCAAGGTATTTAAACGAAAGGAGACTGTTTGAGTAAAAGCCCTTCACTCCTAAGATAGCAAATAATTGATTCACTCAAACCCGTTTTTGCAGATAAGATGGTTCATGTGAGAAACTGGACGATATCAAACATTGGCGGCAAAACTGACTGATGTTGTCTCCATATTGATGTTCATTTGTTGGCACCTTGGACCAGGAACATTACTCTGCTATCGTACTCTGTCTTCTGAAAGAAACCAAAACTTTTTGTCAAGCTGGGAGGATTAGGAATGTATTTAATAAGCTGGGTTTTGGTTTTTTTATTGTTAGATTTGCCAACAAAAGATTTTTGGGTAAAGGTCACAAGAAATAGAACCTATTACTTCAATTCTGAAAATAGAGGTAATACATACTGCTCTTTATTCAAGGCTCTTCTTCGATTTTGTAACAATTCTATGTAGGACTACCATACCATTAAGTCAGGGAGGTTACTAGAACCCTAGGCAGCGGAGCAGGAGCCCTTTAAAACAAAAATTTAGGGGTCACAGCCCCCACCCCCCCCACAATTTTGTGCCGAAAATATTGCTAGCACAGCTTAAAAATTGGTAACATTTTCATTCTTGTGATCTTTCCACAAATCTTTATACCAGCATCATGATTGGCAAAATAATATGTTGTCAGTAAGACTTCTTTTGAACAGCCTCCACCTGTTTAGAAAAGTTTATCAACTACCAAAATTCTCTTTGTGTCTAGGAAACTAGACACTATTTGATTTTGTCTGTGGGAACCCAATCAAATGCTGGGCTGAAAGATATCACGCTGTGCCAGAAGTAATGAAAGTAGGTCACAAATCCATTATGGACACACATAAAACTGTAAAGAGTGCAAAGAGGTTTGCTTGTGGCAACAAACAACACAAAGGGCATTTGGCTCAGCTGCCTCTGAAAAAAGGGAGTTAAGTTCTACGTGAAATGTTACTGGCTTCATAAATTATATTATCTCTGGTGCAAATAGCATTAATAAATTGGGGTCTATTTTTAAGGAAGGATTTATTACCACTGTGAAATTTGCTATACTGTACTGTTAAATTTTCTTTGCTGTTTGGCAACCAAGCTCAAAATTTACCATCTTCCTAAATCTATTGATCAAGTAATTATCTGAAGTACTCATAATTTTTATGTAGCACAAATAGTTTTTTTGCATAAGTTTGTCATAAAAATTCCTTCTGCTACACTAGAACGGCGATGAGATTTCAGTTATTTTACAAAACATGCTCTCTTTTCGGCACAATTCAAACTAATATTTTAAAACTTTTTTCCACCTTTTTTATTTTGATATCTGAATTGGTACAAATATTGTTTGCAAAATGATTTCCATTTAGTATATTTTCAAGGTGTCTCAATGATACGACAAATCAAGATTATCTTTGAATACAACCAGTTGGGTACTGAAACAAAGTAGAGCATGGCCCTCTAGGGTTCGTGGAGGTTTTGACAAACTGCAAGTTTGCACTCCTATCGCTCATACGAGTTCACCACCTGAGGTAAAGCGACTTGGCCCCAATGCAACCTTTACCAGTTTGCCCTAACGTAGAGCATGGCCTTAGAGAGCTCTAGCATACTTTGGTGCTCTCTGAATCTCTGCATTGTTGCCTATAATTGTTGTCTCTTTCTTCTCTCCTTTGTTATTCTTCTTCCATTGTTTTGAAGGAGAATTTTCACCCTCTCTTCCCCTTAACCTTTTCTGCCAACTTCTCAAGGACAAGAGGCTTTCTTTCTTCGTAGTTAACTACATTCAAGATCATGCGACAAAAAGATCTTTTTAATTATTCTCCTCCTAATCTTTCACAAACGACTATAAATTAAAACAAACAACTTTCTTAAAACTCTCAGTCGGGTTAGGTATCAACAAGCTTGCATGCAAAAAAATATTATTGATAACATACAAAATTAATTATTGAATGAAAGCTAGTTCCCTTAAATTATGCATATTACATGGAGTATTTGAGTCTTGCGCCAATTTTATTTTTCTTTTTTTTCAATTTAATTAGGAACCAAGAGGACGAAGGTCTGGGTGAAATCACCAAACTGGATACTCTATGACGTGCATCTCCCCATGAGCGTTTTCGTTCTGAAATCAGACAAAGTAAATGTTAGAGAAAGATGTTCTTTTTTATTTTGTCACGAGTGTGGGAAAAATAAAAAAAATTCTGAGCCCTCATGAGTAGTTGAGTGGTAGAGTTTTGGATTCTGCAGCCCCATGCTCTATCATTAAGCAACAGAGACTGTAAATTAAACCAGGTGATCCCAAGGTACTTATGAGAAACGCATCCTGCATACAGTGTCAGAATCATTGAGTGTGAGCAGAACAATTATTGAAGATCCTGGTAAATTTTTTGCAAAAAGTCTCAGAGTTGAGTCTTATTCCCCTTACTCATGGGAGCAGGACATTTGTGTTGTGTTCTTGGGCAAGACTCTTCACTCTCACAGTGCCTCTCTCCACCCAGGAGAAGAAATGCATTTTGGTAAACATTTAACAGGGTTTTCATAAAGCATGCGTAACTACTGAAATGCTGAAATACTATTAAAAAACATATTAAGAACGTGTCCACGAGAGCACCAGGCAGTCGTGATACATGCCATCTCACAAATTTCATTGAGACTTTGCCAGTTTAGAGGATCTACCCAAAACTCAAAATGACAAACTGGTTTCTGCTTTGGTTATTTCCGAGGGGAGATAGACCATCCCTCGATTTTTTAGGTTCTCACTTAAAAATTGCCTCAAAATAGGTAAAATGTAAGAAGCTCTTACTGCAATTGTATCAAGAAAATTACTGTGACGATTTGCATACATATTGGTACATCCTTAATAAACGTACAGGACAAGTTTCAATTGATTTGATTGACAGCTTGTCAATCAACAGGGGTGAATAAATTAGTGTGTTTTTAAACTTTTCGAATCACTCAAATATTTGGTAACTATGCGGTCAAATATCTCCCCTTGCCAGAAAGCTACAACACTAATTTGAATTCCCATTCCTAGTCCATTATTTCATCTCTGAAAATCATTAAAAAAATCTTAGGGAACTGCCATATTTTTGTGTGGAATGCCTTTTGAAATCTGCGACTGTGAAAGCTTCTCTCAATTGTACCTGTCACGCAATTGTAGCTGTAAGCCGTTTTTCAGGCAAGTAAACCATCATTTTGTAGCTCGTTAAACAAGATAAGTAATCAAGGAAGCTGAGAAATGTATGAAACTTTCCAGATTCTTGGTAGAAATTGGAAATTTTGTGTTTAAAGAGGAGCATGTTGGCGAAATATTGATGGGAGAATCGGAACATTTCTCCCCTCTGTCATTTATTTTGGAGATTTGCTAAAAAAAGGCAAATGTGGCTTTCTTACGGCAATAAACATTTATTTGTCTTTAATTTGACTGTGTATTATCACAGTTTACAATCAAGAGATTGTAACAGGAGAGGAGATTTTAAAGTCACATGCTGCATTCTTGTTGACATACAGGTTTCCGTTTGCAGTACAGACAAGAAGCTCTGCCTTCTCGCTTGAAAGGAAATTTCAGTAGCTATGTTAAATCAATAAACTACCCCATTATTCCAGAAAATAAAAATAGAATGGTGTTATCCTTTTCACTTACTACTATCGTCCATTTCCATGCAGAACTTGGCCGAACTAAGTATCTGTGGCGTTACTTGTAAACGTTTCCTAGGGATGTGAATTATTCAAGACGTTGTTCACGCTGTCTGCCAAAGAACAACTTTAGAATATTCTCCAGATCTCTTTGCTATTAGCTTGCTTATTGATCAATAAAAATATCTGCATTTCTTTTAAACATGCTGTAACTACATGAATAAAATATGCATTTCTCTCGAGCTCGATCTTACGTTGCCTGCAATATTTTGATCAGTTGGCTCCGTCCTAGTTTCCATTTAAGTTAGGTAATGATGAAAAAATTCCGAAAAATATCCAGTTGTTTTCAGAAGAATGACAATAAATTTGAACAAAAAGCGAGGGGCAAAGGTCTATATGTTTAGTAACCCAATGATAGCTCAGTGTGCCCTACCATGCGGTCTTCGTCTACATTTTGCCACTTCACATATGCTAAAAAGTTACGAAAGTTGAATCAGACATGGACTTCTAGAGAGTCTGAATGGGGCTAACTGTAAACTAAAAAATGGCTGGAAATTCTCACGATTAGCTGAGCTCTTTTTACTTACAAATTAAACGACGAATTATTATGTGCAGTTAACAAAAAATCTACCTCCGGCAGCTGGCAACTGAAAGAGGTCAGATTAATAATGCAAAGTTCACGGTCCCTCCCTATCTTCTGCCTTGTTCGATTAGTTTCGACATCTGAGGCCAGATCATCCACATCAGCCTCTTCGTCCTCAGTCATGCTTACAGCGGGGGACCTCTGCTGTAAACAAGTTCTGGTTAGGGCAGATAATCGGCTGAAGTATCGAGCGATCTGCTGCTCTGTCAACCAGTCAGTCTTGGAGAACATTTTCTGGCCAGTGTCGTCTCTTAAATTCTTTATTTGGGAAGCCACATC